ATGCTGTGGTATTTAAGAGCATACATCACACCACGTGGGTCATATGCTGTGGTATTGAAGAGCATACATCACATCACGTGGGCCATATGCTGTGGTATTTAAGAGCATACATCACACCACGTGGGCCTTATGCTGTGGTATTTAAAAGCATGCATCACACCACGTGGGCCATATGCTGTGGTATTTAAGAGCATGCATGACACCACGTGGGCCATATGCTGTGGTATTTAAGAGCATGTATCACACCACGTGGTCACGCGGCTAACCTGTTTACGGAATATACGTCAACAATGGAACACAACAAACAGCTGACAGTGGATAACAAACGAGGAACACAAATGAACGGCACAACAACCGAATCACCACAGCACACACAACTACAACCCTAATACCTAACACCCCTCACACACAGCAGCACAGTACAGTGCAGCACAGACCTAATTCGGATTGTGTTTTAGGCACTGACCTTATTCTGGTTGGCTAGTAACCGAAAGATCTTCGTGACCTTGTCCTTTTTGATTGTGTTTTTGGCGATGGCTTTTTGGAAGTGGTTGATGATGTCGATGAACGTGACCACTTTCAGAATCATCGTCTTCACCTGCGGTGTGTTGGTAGAACAAAGTGTGGATGAACACCGTTGCTACCCACAGATATGCTTACATAGCTGTATATATACCTACCCCTGTAAGACAACATAGCTGTATATATACCTACCTCTTTATGACCACAAAGCTGTATATATATCTACCTCTGTACGACCACATAGCTGTATATATACCTATTTCTGTATAACCATATAGCTGTGTATATACCTACTTCTGTAAGACCACATAGCTGTATATATACCCACTTCTGTATGACCACATAGCTGTATTTGTACCTACCTCTTTGTCTTCACATCCAGATATACGTGTGACGGCTGAGTTGCCCCGATCGTTCCCTTCCGTTACATTTGCGCCGCATTCTGTACAAATGGCCAACAAAGTGACCATGAGAAAATCAGCACAACAACATCACATGCAATACGCTTCAGCTCAGACATAGGCTATCAGCATTGGGGACCCACTTAATTGCCCCCTCTCCACGGTGTTCACCCACCCCTACGCTACAAAAGTTAAGAGTGCATCTGTGCGTTATTGTGAGTTCATATGATGTACCTACTTCCACCAACTCATCACCCTACCATCACGCGTGCGCGCCCGTTCGACACCTAATGAAAGACCCAATGAAGGCGTACTACAGACCCCTACAGCTCATGCAATTATACCTAAACCCTAAAACCCTACCCACGTCATGCCTATTAATACCATTAGCCATAGTAAGAGTGTTCAACCCCCCCTTCCACATACCCACACCAACCAATAGACACTGAGAAAACCTACAACGACCCATCCACGCACCCAAAGACCTACATCTACCCATACCTTCCAAATATGTCAACCCCTCGACCTACCCACACCAATCAATAAACATTGAGCAAACCTACAACGACCCATCCACGCACCCAAAGACCTATATCTACCCATACCTTCCAAATATACCGACCCCTCTACCTACCTAAACCAACCAATAGACACTGAGCAAACCTACAGCGACCTATTCACCCACTCAAAGACTTATATCTACCTCTACCTTCCAAATATGCCAATCCCTCTACCTACCTACACCAACCAATAAACACTGAACAAACCTACAGCGATCCATTCACCCACCCAAAGATTTATATCTACCCTACAATCCAATTATGCCAACCCCTCTACCCACCTGCTATATTGCTAATTGCACCTGCCATCTAGAGTCCCACACCCATGCACGAGTCTACCTTCAACCCCATCCCAACGCACTCGTATATTTATGTACCGACATGTCTGCACATACGCTCTAGCCAGACCACCTCTGTCCCCTTACACACACCCAACAGCAGCACCGCAGCAGGTACAAACCCAACAACCCAGCCACCTACCCAGCAGAAGCCTAGCAACAGGTGCGTGTGCCCATTGTACGGCTATCATCAGCGGAGTGTCTCCGTCGGCTGTGCGTGCTTCAATGGCCGCACCCTTATCCAAGAGCATCTCACATATCTTCACATTACCCTCACGCACAGCAGCTGAGCAGACGAGGAGAGGTGGTGTCATGGAAGTATGGATAATGCAAAGAAATAAATCCAAATGCGATATTATACATTATACAAATGC